AAAATAATATTATTACATTAATAAATAAAACGTAGTCAAAGTAGAACATGTGAATAGTGTAAAAGTCAAAGTGTTGCATTTATTTAAGACTTTCACAAACCATAGCTTTTTATTGGAAATTATTTATAATATAAAAATTATATGAAAATGTTCTTTGTTAAAAGTACTTTCATAAAAGTATAAAATTTATAACTTTCATAATATTATACTGATCAAAATCGTGGTTCAATTTTTTTGAAATGACAAGTTTTTTGGGACGAAGGTAGTACTAAATATATTGCAGTAATTATACCAAAATTTGAAAACTATAAGAGGATATCTAACAAAAATACTCATTGTATAAAAGTAAAGATCTACTTAAACCTTTTGACTGATTATTTGCAAATCATGACTATTAATTGTAAAAATTATGCTCAACTTTACATTAAATGTATTTTTGAGCAATTTATTTGTATAGTTATTATAGAAATAATAATTATTTTGCAAAAATCACAACCCTAATCCACCAATAAATGGGTTGAAAAAGCCCACGGGCTTCGCCCCCCACCAAACTCCCAAACTCCCAAGCCCCACCCACCTAGAACAAGCCCAACCCGAAAAAGTTTAAAAAAATTATTTGGGCCCGGTCAACCTATTTCTAAACCTGTAACCCGCCACAAAAAGCCCCCAGTTCGGGCCTCTGGACCGGTCCCCGTTGACCGGTTCGGGTCAGGTCCCAACAATGTCGGGCCGGGTCCCGGGTCGGTTGACCCGACCCAGTCCACCACTAACATGAATAACTCAAAAAGGAGAGCTACAACTCTATGGAACTCAAGACTGTTCTTTTTTTTGCTGTGAAACTCGGGACTCTCTTAATAACATTAAACCAACCAAAATGTAAATTACAGTAGAATAAGGCAAATGCTTATGTGGAATGCTTTCCACTTTTCCATTTGTGAATTTTTTACCATAAATCCATATGTTCATTAATGATAAGAAGTTAAAACATATAAAAATTGTGTTTAATATCTAGCCCTTTAAGACAAGATTTAATTTTTGTTTGAGAATATTCAACAGGGATGGAAACTGTGGCAATGATGAGTGAAATGCCTACGACATCTATGTATGTATAATGAATGAGGCTCACTTTATAGAATAAAAATACAAGCACAATAATCCCTATGGAATATTAACACAATTGTTTTACAATTGGAATAAAAAAACAACAAACACATCACTAGGCAACAACATTCTGGAGCAGGGACACAATTAAATTCGAAAGGGGGTGAACCCAAACACGATAAGAAGTATTAGCACTCGAAGCTTGGCGAGCCAACATGTCTACAACATTATTTCTATCCCGCGGGATGTGAACAATCAAAATACTCCACCCAAATGATCATGTCACGCATCTTGCATATAATATCACTTGCCCATAAGTATCTCACATCATCATCATTTTGAAAGAATTTACACAACATCGTTGCAGTCCGAGAAACAAACAATATCACAATACCCAAGATCCCATCCATGTTGCAGGCCAAGTTCAATAGCCAACAGCTCTGCCATAAAAGCCGACCTAACACCATGCTCGGAACTCCGGAAATCCAACTGTCGATAGCATCCGTAATGATTGCACCACACCTCCTCCTTGAAACTCCCTAGTTCCATCTGCCATCCACAAAAATATGGATCATGTTTGTCGGATGTTGTTACTCGGGACCAACTGTTGAGATGGGCAAAGCGAGCTCTTCAACCAACGTTGTCAAGTGTTTACGTCCATCAAAATCTGCCTCAGGACATAGTTCATATGCCATGCTCTATTAGTGAAAATACTTATTCCTCAAACGCCAAGCTCACCACATTACAGAAACCGCAAGGACATGCTCCCTCCGAGAATAATCTTTCTAAACCAAAGATGAAAAGATTCATGCAGAGATAATGAAGGATGGGTTCAAAGTGACGCCAAAGGTATTGAGAGTCAGTGCAACCCCGAAAAACATGATACACAATTTCATACTTTGCCCCACATCTAGAACAAGCCGTTGAGAAACATAACGGGTTGTAATGTCGTTTACTATTTGTCGGAAGAGCCTCCTTCGTAATTAACCAAAGGAAGAATCTGATTTTCGTAGGCACCATACTCCTCCAAACATGTTTTCAGCAAGGGTGATGATATGTCGTGTATACCCTGCTAGCATCGCATAGGTCGACTTTATAGAATATGAGCCGTTATCTGTCTCTCTCCATTGGACAACATCATGGCCAACATGATTTAATGGAACCCGTACCTAATGAATTTTGGGTTTAGTCTTAGTTGACAGGGATGTAGACAACTTGTGAAACACCAAGTTTGGTGTTGCCAATTTTAGCAACACCAAACTTGGTGTTAGAAAAATCTGAAATATGGAAAAAGGGGACCCGATCACGGGTTTTCCTAGTGCCAAGCAAAATGTCATACCAAAAGGATGATTCGCCATTACCAAATTGTTCCCCAAAGTCATGCACAAATAGTGCCCCAAAGTCATGCAAATTGTCTCCCACGATGCCCAATGGTGCTTTTGTTTCTCTCCTTGATTGCGCCAAAAGAAAGCAGCCATTTTCCTTTCTAGAATTTTAATGATTTTTCTAGGGAGTGGAGTGACTGCCAAATGATGCAATGGGATAGCTGATAACACATGTTTGATAAGACTCAGTCTGCCACTTTGATTTAATAATTTTTTTCTCCAAGAACTCGGTTTTGACTTGAAGATCTCCACAAGTTGTTGACACTGATGAACACGAGTTATGCCTTGGTGAATGGAAGCCCCCAGATACTTAAAAGGCAACATTGTGGATTTCATGAACACAATTTTTCACATATTCTTCCTTCTGCCGAAATTAACTTTTCCCCACAATAGATGCACTTTTCTTGAAGTTAACTTTTTGACCAAAAGCTTGCTCATATGTATGCAGGAAGTTGATATATGTATGTGTTGACTTAGAGGATCCATTGATGAAAATAAGCAAGTCATCTGCAAAGGCTAGATGAGAAACAATGGGAGTGTTCGTGGCAACTTAGTATGCTCCTATTTTTCCTTCTGCAATTAATTTTTGCAGCCCTCTTGAAAAACATTCAGACACCAAGATGAAAAGTAAAGAGATAAAGGATCCCCTTGTTTAACACCCCTGAGAGGTTTAAAAAACTCAAAGTTCTGACCATTTACCATAACAGAAAGGTGAGTATCCCGTAGGTTCTGAACAATTAGGTGCATGTGCATCACCTGTGAGTCAAAGCCATATTGCTTAAGTACTGCCTCTAGAAAATGCCATGAGATTTTGTCAAAGGCCTTTGTCATGTCTAGTTTCATAGCTATATTATTACCCCTCACCTTTTTATCCAAAGCATGAATGAGTTCTTCAGCTAGAAGGATGTGCTGGTGGATATCGTTTCCTGGAAGAAAACCTATTTGTTCTGGTGAGATGAGCTTGGGCATTATAACCTTGAACCTGTTAGTCAAAATTCGAGTGCAAATTTTATTGATAAAATTTGACAAACAGATTGGTCTGAATTGACTAAAATTCTGAGGATTCTGAGTTTTTGGTATTAGCACTAATTGAGAGGAGGTTAAGGCAGTGGACATAGGAAACCCTAGAAAAAATTCTTTAATGGCTGAACAAACATCTTGCTTAATAATATCCCAAGATGTTCTGTGAAAATTCCCAGAATACCCATCAGGACCATCTGGGCTGTCTTTATCCAACTGCCAAATAGCATCCTTGATTTCTTGATCTAATGGTATAACTTTGATGTTGTTGTTATCTCCAGGTGTGACAATAGGAGTTATGAACTACAGCATGTGTTGAGAGAAAGATGGATCTGAACCTTCATCAGAATATAAGTCTTGGAAGAAATCAACAACAGCCTTCCCTATTGATTCCTGATCCATACAAGGATGATTGTTCAGGTTCTTAATATAACATATATTTTGATGCCTTCTCTTCTCATTTACATACTTGTGAAAAAACTTTGCATTAGCATCTCCCTCCCTAAGCCATTTAACTCTTGCTCTCTGTCCCCAATAATCTTCCTCTTGTTTAATATTTAGTTGTAAAGAGGCTAGGGCATGTGACCAGGTTGCTCTATTTTGCACAGAAGGATCAGAGATGTAGTTCTCTTCTGCTGTCTGCACGCCCTTTTCCATCCGGACAACATCAGTAAATACAGAGTATATTACTAAAGGTGTATTTATTCCAGTCTTTCAAATCATTTTTGAGCTTCCTCAGTTTTTTATATAACCCTCACATTCCATTGTAGTTGGGAGAGCAGCACCAGGTATCGTGGACCATTTCCTGAAAGTTGGATGCGATGTCCACATGCTCACAAAAGTGCCGGCTGTACATGTCCTTCGTACAGCGGAACCATATAATTTACCCTATTAAACCCATCTTTATATAGCGCTGTTCTGAAAATCCACCAGCCTTTTTAGTTGGGTCTTCCTCCCACTTAATCCCAATGTTTAGTTCTTCCACCCAGCAGCGACAGATAAACCACTCTCCTTCGTAGATGCTACCTAGACCTCCTCCTTAGACTACTTTTCATTGTTCTATTTCCTATTCTGTCCCTGCCTACTAACCCAACAATCTCAAATTAATTAGGAGCTAGCTCCGCTAGGCCTGCATCAGAAACCCCTTTTTTCTATGGGTAAAATGCAAGCTTTGTTGTACATATTTCTATCAGACCTCATTTTTTCAGTGAAAGCCAGAATTAATTTTTTTTTTGCTCTGGCTCTGCCAAACGATAGATTAGTCCCATTCCACTCAATTACAATCAGAAAAATTACAGACACGCATCAATAGCTTTCATAGCCACGAAAGTAGTCAAATCTATTCTAAATTGTCTCAGTTTAACAACACTTAAATGCAGAAATACGAGTTCTTTTAGGATCGGAGAACATACGGTTATATTACAAAGAAAAGAAGATTTACGTACACCAAATCGAATCCAAAAATTGCAGACCAGGAGAGAGAGAAAAACTTACAAGTGCACTTTGAGCTCTTCTATGCCCACCCTTGATGACGGAGAGTCTTGAAAATATACCCAACATATTAAGCTGATGAAGACTACAACAGGAAAATAGAGAGAACACACGTGTTCAATATTGCGTTTGATCTGCTCCTTTGCCTCTCTACTTCTGTCATACGCTTCCGCTCACTGATACGCCAAACTTTGAATTGGTATATCAATTAGGGGTGGGCATAAAACCTGAACCGTCCCGTAATGGTACCGAACCGAATATCGGGTATTTAAATGGTTCTATAGATTTTTGTCCCGTACCAAAACTGTATCGTTTGAAACGGGTATGGGACCAGTCCTAGTTTTTTAGAACCGAAATATACCGGACCGAACCGTTCGAAAATAATTCATTTGAATTATATATATATTTTCTATACCAATAGATCTCTTTTATAGACCACCAATTTTATAGCCCAAGTATGTATTTATGCGTCCCTAAAATAGCTAAATGTGTGTATATATATATATTGTTATTTTTTCTTTTTAGATAATTTATGTTATATTTAGTATGTGTTGATCGAAAGAATATTAGAATTTTAAAAATCATTCATGACTACTCCCTTCGTCCCCTTTTAAATGTCCCGTTTTACCATATTGGGATGTCTCTATTTAATTGTCTCATACCCTCTTTGGTAAAGTTTGTGTGGCTTAAAATCATTCTTACTTTGTTCTTACTTTATTCTTACTTTCTCAATTAATATCAATCACGCAAACCCACTTTTCTTAAAACTCGTGTCACCCTCTTCCGGGACATTTAAAAGGGGACGGAGGGAGTATTCATTTCTAGTAATGTTGTGTACATGACTTTTTGTTGTATCATGTTTGTGCAATTTTACAACTTAATTAATATAGCTTAAATCTTAGCTCTCAAGGTTCAACTATAAATTAAATAAGAACTACGGAGTAACATAGAACGAAGAAGAAGAAGAAGAACGTTGAAGATTTCTAATATATTATATTCTTTTTATATTTTCACATGAACTTAGTAAATTAAAGATGATATTTATCTCGTGCGTCATCATTTTGCTATACTTTTTCTTAGATGTGTTGCACTATTTGTGTAGTTGTGAGTTTTAGTACTACGTATGCAATTTCTTGTATTTATATCAACATTTCATGTGAGTTGGTTGGTGTGATGATATATACTAATTGTAAGATTTATTCAAAAAATTTAGCATGTGTTTGGCATTGTACCGTACCGTTTTGTACCGTTCCGAAGCGAAATGGTACCGAACGGTTCCATCCTTGGAACCGGACCGTTAAAAATCTCACAGATACATTACGGGTTTTACCAATTTACCGGACCGTTCCGGACCGCACCCACCCCTAATATCAACAATTCAGGGCACACGCTTAATTTGAGGTTGCACCCATATTATAGTATAAATTGAACTTTGCACCTCATTTTAAAAAATCTTGGTTTTTGCCCCAACCTCGTATAAAAAGATAAAAATGTCCTTAATCAAGAATATGAAGGTCAACAGAATTGTTAATGGAGAGGCATTTTAGTCTTTTCATACGGGGTTGGGTGCGCAAAAACACAGATTTTTAAAAATGGGGTGCAAAGTCCAATTTAGACAATAATATGGGGTGCAAACTCAAATTGCCTCTTTTTACTTTTTGATAGTTTTCGGTCTCATATCAGATTAGACTTACACAGATCAAACCAGACCAGACTTAAACAAATCATATCAGACCAGACTTTCATAATTATACGTAGTATAAATAATACACAGAAATCATACATTTAGTAGATCAGTTCAAACCAGACCAGACTAAGGCTATGTTTGGCAGACATAAGTCCCTACCTTCTAGCTTTTGTATTATTGAAAAAGTCTCTAAAAGTTCCAAGTTGTATGTTTGGTATGATACTTTTAAGAGCTTTTCAAAAAATAAAAAGATCTTTTTTGAGATGCTACAGGGAGTAGCATCTGAAAAAAGTCTATAGCTTCTAGCATTAATTAGTCCCAACAACTTCTATACCAAACAAAACTAAATCAAACAGTCAGCTTTTTACCAAACAGCTACTACCTTTTACTTTTAAGATCTTTTCAGTCACTAAAAGATAACAGTTACTAAAAAGTTCGTAAAAGTATCTTTTCAGCTAGTTGTGTCAAACATACCTTAAACTTAAACAAATTACAATCGAAGTAAAAAGATCCTAAGACTAGGTTGTGCTCTTCAATTATTTAAGTATTTCAATTATTCAAGTAAAAGAAATAATTCTAAATACATAGAGGGGTGTATTGTATTAGGCAAATCACTCATCAGTGGGGGCAAATCCGGGGAACACTTGTCATATTTTATTGAAATAAAAATAAGAATAAAAAGTGAGGATGACTAGACCAAAACCTCTTCTTAGAGACATAAATCTAAAAATACATCAATAACAACGGCCAAGATTAATCCATGCACATATAAATGTGTATAGATTGTAAAAGTTTAGGTCTATTCAATGTAGTTTTTTTTTCAATTCTTTCTAACCTATAATAGTATCTGCTCTATGTAAAGGTCAACATCCTTGAACTGGGATGAGATTCGAACAAGTGACCTCCTCCTTGGGAGTGTCACAGTGATGTCATTAGACCACGTGATACTTGGCCCATGTAGATTTTTAAAAATCTAAAAAGTTTAAGTGAATTCAATCTAGAGCTTTAAAAATCTAAAAAAATCTAAGCATATTCAAACTTCCATTCATCCTTATGGGCATTTAAACTCATTGATTATCATGGACTTTTAACTCATTTTTAGGACATTAACTCTATGCAATTGTCTCTTCTCCTCATCAAAGATTTCTGTGGACTTTTCTTTCGTCATCTACTCGTCACAAGTGCGCATTGATCCGGTTCATGAATCAGACTAGATTTGACTAATTATTTTGCACAGAATCACAAACCGTCCAACTGGTCATGGACTAGTACAGGGTCGCGGATCGGAAGGTGGGTATCAAGGCAGTCTTGATGATAAATTCTTATTTTTATTAATTTATGATAAATAAAATTGAACAAAAAAAATCTACATCAATACTCATAAACAAGATAAACTTAAAAAAAATGAGTTTTTTATATTATCTTATGAAGAAAAATGTAGAGATGGGATCGGTTCAATTCTTCGAAAAATTAGGGATCATTTAAAGATCCGTTAATGAAATATTGATTCGGTTCTAGAATTCTTTGAAAACCGCTACAAGAATCGATAGTATCTTATTGGTGGACTTTTTATATGTTGTCAATTAAACGTTAAGAAATAAAAATATATTTAACAATTAATATGTTTCATTGTTACACCGCTAACATAAAAACATAATATTGAACAAATTTTAACAAGATAAAATGAAAAGAAAACAAATATTAAGAAGAAAAGTTCAATTGCACCTATGCTCATATCACATAAAAAGTTCATTGTTTTTCAAATGGATGTGAAAACAACATTTTAAAATGGAGTTTTAAAAGAAGAAGTCTATGTCTCTCAGTATGGTGGTTTCATTGATCCTGAGCATCCTAATCGCGTCTATAAGTTGAACAAACCCTTATACGGTCTGAAGCAAATTCCAAGGGCTTGTTATGAAGCTTTGTCCGACTTCTTGGTTTCTCCAAGGGAAACATTGACACCACCCTCTTCATCAAAAGGCATAAGTCTGATATCATGCTTATTTAGATCTATGTCGATGATATCATTTTTGCCTCATCACATCCAAGTTTTTGCAAAAAAAAAAACGACAATCTAATCCGCACCAAGTACGAGATAAGTATGATGGGCGAGTTAAACTTCTTTCTTGGGTTGAAAATGAGACAATGGTCATATGAAGTCTTCATCAATCAATCCAAATACATTTATAAAAGTCTAAAAAGAAAGCTTTTCGGGCCAAAACAGGAAAATCCTTAACAGAATAAAAATGTTGAGATGGGTTGGATAAGAAAATGCATATAGATGATGGTGATTTCCTCTTCAACGTTGCCGCCGGATCCAGCCAGACAATGCTTGGTTGGGAAAATTTTTTGCAGATGTTGTTAATAGATCTAATGGTACATTGTCGATCAAATCCCCGTCTAGGTTTAAAGGTATGCCGTCCATCAGCTTCCCTGAAAGCGATATTCAAATTCTGGCAGAGAGATGCAAACGCTCGCTCATAGGTTATTTCTATAGGGGCAGACCTCGTTTGGATATCATTAGGAATGCCTTTGAGATTATCGGTTTCAAAGGTCCTTTTCATCCAGGTGTATTGGAGAGAAAACATGTTCCTATGTGTTTTGATTCTGAGGAGGATTACTTTAGATGCTGGAATAGACAAAGTTGGAATATTCGTGGTTACGAAATGAGGGTGACGAAGTGGACTCCGGACTTTTGTCCTAATGTGGAGTTGCCAGTGGTCCCGGTCTGGGTTTCTTTAGAAGGCTTGCCTTTGCATCTTCAAGACAAACGTGCATTGTTTGATATTGCGGGGTTATTTGACAAACCCTTGAAATTGATGTTGCTGCAACTAATTTATCCAGGCCATCACTGACCTGGTTTTGTGTTGAGCTTGATCTCACACAGGAGATGCCTCAGCGGGTTTGGATAAATTGTGGGGATTATGGCTTTTCTCAGCCTGTGATTTATGAACAGCACCCTGAATATTCCTCACATTGTCTTCACTTAGGCCATTCATTTACTAAATGTCCTAAACGTCAACTAGAGGTTCCTAAGCACCAACCAGAGGTCCCTAAACATCCGCCTAAGGACAAATGGATTGAGAAAAAGAAAGATAACCACATCAAATTCACGACAGCTGAGAAAGGAAAAGAAATTATTACAACTAATTTGTTATCTAAGAATGTTAATTCAACTTTGGGTCCATACAACCAATTGTCTAATGATTGTGGATCAGCCATCTTCTTCAAGACAACATCCTCCTACAGTTTCTTTGGAGGATGATACCGACACAGAAGAGGTATTCCATGAGGAACCTCATAACAAGGTACATCACACATCCAGGAGAAATGAACCGGGTGCTCTTGATCCTGAATCTTTTGACATGAAGGAATTAGGTACATCAACTTTGCCTCTTACAGCGGTCTCAAGTTTGATTTCGCTTGAGAGCTGCAGTTGACAGCAGGCAGGGAATAGTTTAGACACCAACTAGCTGATAGATGCAAGTGTTCGATTCATCAAAACCAGATGACTCTTTTGTGTGTACTTTCTTTTGTTTTTCATT